ATCTTCGACGACGCCTTCTCGATGAGCGCGATCGAGAAGGTGGCCGAGGTGCGCACCACGATGTCCTCGGCAGGGGCGGTCGAAGTTCGCCGGCCGGGCGAGGGCGAGCCGACCGACGAGGAGCTCTCCTCCTTCCCGCTCGCGGCGGGCGCGCACTTGCCGATGTCCTCGCCGGCGCTCGAGTTCACAAAGATGGTCACCCACCTCGTCGGCCTCGACCCGCTCCTCGAGGACGGCGTCGTCCGGCTCCGCCGCAACCTGCTCCAGCTCCTCGCCGTGCAGGAGTTCGCACCCGAGGCGCGCTTCGTCAACCCGTGCCGGACCTTCTGTGAACAGCGTCTCTTCACACCTGTTGCTGTGAACAGGCGCGCTTCGTCAACCCGTGCCGGACCTTCTGTGAACAGCGTCTCTTCACACCTGTTGCTGTGAACAGGCGCGCTTCGTCAACCCGTGCCGGACCTTCGTGCTGCCCGACGCCGTCTGCTCGCACTGCCACGACGTGCGCGACCTCGACCTCTGCCGCGACGCCACGCCGTCGCGCGAGTGGGCGTGCTCGGTCTGCGGCTCGACGCACGACCCGGAGGTGGTCGAGGCGCGGCTGGTGCAGGTGGTGCAGCAGCGGGCGATGGCCTTCCTGGCGCAGGACCGCGAGTGCCGCAAGTGCCGCACCGTCCAGCGCTCCGAGCTCGAGGAGCCTCGCCCCGAACCCCAACCCTACCCCCGAACCCTAACCGAAGCTCTAACCCCAACCCTACCCCTACCCCTACCCCTAACCCCCACACTGACCTCAACCCTGACCCTGGCCCTGACCCTGACCCTAACCCTGACCCTAGGAGCGCTGCCCCACCTGCGCCGGCCGCTTCACGCTGCGCAAGCCGCCCGACGAGCTGCGCGCCACCTTCGACACCTTTGCGTCGATCGCGCACCACTTCGACCTCCCGTACTTGGCCGAGGTATGCGCGACGGAAGTACACGGAGAGTACTTGATTCGCGTCCGCGCATTCAGTGTTTCTTATCCATCATTAGACGTGCGCGTGGCTCTCGGCGAGCGTGTTCGGGAAGTTCAGCAAGGCGGAGGTCGCCAACTGCTTCCAGCGCCGCTAAGCGGCGCGGCGCGCGCCGCCGCCGCCGCGGCCCCCCCTAGAAAGCCGCGCGCCACGCGCACGCCAAGCATGTCCTCTGCGTACACTGATGTCCCTGCGTACAGTGATGTCCCGTCCAGTCGCAGTCGTGACTCGACTCTTTTCCTTTCGCGAGGTTGGTTTCTTACGTTCTTTTGTTATTATTGTTATTACGGGGTGTGGAGGGTGAGTTGACCAGGGGTTGTGCGCCGGGCCCTCCTGCTTGGCTCCCCAGTGAGTAGACTCTAGACAAGAGAGTGTTAGGTGTTACCTGTTCCCCATCAACAACAGAGGACTCGAGGAGACGGATCTGAGCCTGTTCTGACCTCGCAGGGCCATTGTGGCCAAGCGCCTCGTGCCCGACGCCCTGAGCGCGAATGGCCGCCATCAACGCGGAAGCGTCGTCCGCCTCGCCAGCCGCGCTGGTAGCTTGGTAAGGTAAGGTAAGGTAAATTTCTCCACACACACAAAGTGGTGGGGCAAGGGGGGGCGACCCTCGCATCTCCACACCCGGACACGGGCAGGAGCCCCACGGCATTCAAAGTGCAAGCCACTGGCCCGGTGCACGTGGGTGAGCAGTCTAGGGTACCCAAACTCCGGGCCGGTGTGCGGGGAGCGAACCTTAACGATCGCCCAGAAGCTTTCTGAGCGAACCAATCGGGCCAGGATCATCAGCATATGTCCCCTCCACAACATCGGGGGCGTTTGAGCGGTATTTGAGGAGCACCGCTACTCTGAAGTTCGGCCGGGTGGTCTGCAGACCCCCCCCCCCCGGAGCAGCAGAGGCTCCGTGGGGTCGAAAAGTCGACGCTGGGAGTCGCACTCGTCAAGCCATCGCAGCACCACGCGGTTCACACGTACCGCCCACATCCCCTCCACCGCTGAGAAGGCGCAGATCGACCGCCGGGCCGCGTAGTCGTCGTTAAGGAGCGGTTTTTGGAGCCGTACGAAGAGGTCCCAGACGGGCGAACATGCGGTTTTTCGACGACCACACGCGATGTGGTATCTGCTTTTTGCTAAAAACAGGCCGCCTAGTGCAGCATCACTAGTACAACACGCAACCACACTGAGAGCTCCACACTAGCCGGTATAGGCGAGAACCGACGGCGTCACGGTCGCCGGAGTGGACGCACTGCACACACACTGTGACCGTGTCGTGGGTGTGACAATGAGCGACACAATCGTCGGCGCCGCGCTATCGCGGCGCCCCGCAGTCTATACACCGCAGGCGCACCCCTGAACGCGCCATGAGCGCGCAGGCACATAGCAGCGCCGCGCCAAAAGGCCATTCCCTCGCCCGACCCGCGGCTCCACTGCGGCTGCAGCGGTCCGCTCACCTGCACAGGGCAAAAACGTGTAGCGTAACAGACGAGTTGTGACGATCAGTGCTGGCGGAGGCCTCATCGCCGCGAATGCTGCCAGTCGCAGCGGGATCTGACGTCGCGTTTGAGGTGTGCATTGGCGGAGGGGTCGCATGGCTGAGAGAGGCAGAGGCAGCAGGCGGGTGGTGGGGCGGCACCTGTTGCTGCCATGGGCAGCGCCGAGCCGCGGCGGAGTCGCTCCGTAGGTCCATGGTGCGCCGACCCGTCGCGAGGTGCCTGCGCGGGGGTGATGTCGCGCCGATGGCTGAGTACGTGCGGCGTGAGCGGGCTTTGTGCGTAGGGGCGGCGCGAGAGGTGAGCCGGCGGGCGCGCCGGCGGTCGAGCCACCGAACAATTTGACGTGGCGCAGCTCCGCGCCGGCGGGGACGACCGAGCACATGATGTCGGCGGCGGTCACGCGACGAGGGAGAGCCGCAGGAGCCCTCTGTGGAGCAGGCGCGCGAAAGCAGCGATGAGTGGAGCCGCGATCATCCACCTGTGGGCGGTCATCGGGGTCGCGGTCAAGCGCTGCCAGGGTTGGATCCGGTGCGTCTCGTATCACTGGTGGGCTGGGTGTGCAGCAGCAGCGCTCAAAAAGAGGGAAAAAAAGCGGCTGCTACTTGGACTGTCGACTCTCTCGACGCACCGTGCTCGACCTCGCTGAAAAGCTGGCTGGTGGTCGCGCGCAGCGCGCCGGCGCGACTCCGACTGGTTGGGCACCTCGGCTGGGTCCATCGGCAAGAGGCCCGCGCCGTCGGCCAGCCCCGCGAGCGCATGGGCGGCCGGCGCGAGCGGAGAACGACGGGCCAAAATCACGCTCGTTTGGTAGGAAAAGACGAGGCGGCAAGGGGGGGGTCTGAGTTTCGGTACCCTAGAGCAGCCTGCCCCTCCCTCCCGACAATCCAACTCCCGCACGCACACACAATCGCACGCAAGGGCGGGGACCTGTTCCTTTTTAGTCCCATCTCACAGTAGCGCTGTCCGGTTTATTTATTTAATCGCACTCTGGCCATCGAATGACTCCGAATGACTCACTGTGTGTGCTAAGACAGAATCTTACAACAAAACAAGACAGAATCTCCGCAGACAGCCAAATCGGGCTTTACCTCACACCCATGGTCTCACAGTGTGCCGGCAGTCGTCGAGCAGTGTCGCTCACACAGGCCGCCGCACAAGTGACTGAGGGCCAGTGAGGGCGAGCCCATCGCTGTCACGGGTGAGGGTTGACCAGGGGTTGTGCGCTGGGCCCTCCTGCTCGGCTCCAGCGAGTAGACAAGTGTTGTCATCAACAGAGTAGAAGGATCTGACCTCAGGGCCGATGTGGCCAAGCGCTGGTAGCGTGCTTTTACCTCACACCCACGGTCTCACAGTGTGCCGGCAGTCGCCGAGCAGTGTCGCTCACACAAGCCGCAGCACAAGTGACTGAGGGCCAGTGAGGGCGAGCCCATCGCTGTGACAGCTGTGGCAGCCGCACAGTAGGCTGTGCCAACTGTGCAGAGCGTGTGAGCAGCAGAGGAGCTGCTCTCCAGCGAGGCTTCTGTCGCAAAGAGCTGCATGCCACCGAAGGCGCTGTCGAGCTTCGCCGAGCGCGGCGCAGGTTGGAGGAAGCCGCCACCGACGAGCGCGTTGGACTTTTCACTCCGGACAAAAAACGCGGCACAGCGGACGGTGCGGGGCGTGCCGCTTAGCAGGGGAGGCAGGGCCCATCTCTCCTGCTCGGCCAGCTGCTCGGCCCAATCTCTCATCCGTCGATCTCATCCGAGAGCGCTCGAGCTCGGCGCTCGTGTCACCTTCCCGCCCGCCTTAGCGCCCACCTGAGCGCCCACCTTGAGCTTCGCCATGGACATCACATGGCTCGATGCGTTTCCCCTGGTTCGAGCGGCTCGATCCGGAAGAAAAGACCGCTTACCCGAGCGGAGGCCTCGAAGAATTCTTCTGAAAAACGGCGTTTCGGCCGCGGGGTACATCTCGCGGGTACACCTTGCATGGACTGGATGCTGAAGATTGCCTCGCTTCTCCTCGTCGCTCTGTCGGCGTCTGCCCTGCCGGTGCGTCGCTCCGCCCAGCCGCACTTACTCACATGCAGGCTTGAAACTACACGCACCACACGAGTGCGCAGGCAGAAATCGTCGACGACATCGACCCAGCCGCTCGCGGCCTCGCCTTTGCGCCAAAGCCCTCTCCTCCCGTGCCCGACGTGGTCGACGACCCCGCCTGGCTCATCGCCACCTCTGGGTTCTGCTCGAACCTCGACGTCGTGATCAAGGAGCGCGACGTCGGGGCGAGCGAGACGGAGGGCGACACCGCGGCCCACTTCATCGCCGACATCTCCTTCAACTACTACCCGCAGACGGCGGTCAAGTTCACCGATTTCCCTCACCACCTCGCGAAGACCATCGAGGGCGACGCTGCTGAGGCGGACGCGCTGATCTCGAGTGCGTGGGACCACAAGAACATCGCGCTGCTCGAGCCGACGTCCTCGTGCGGCGCTGACGACCAGAGCAGTCAGGCGTGGGGGATCTCGGTCTTCAAGGTGGAGGAGCACCGCCACTGCACGGACGGCGAGACGGCGTGGGAGGGACATCCTTGCGTCCACTACTCCGGCTACGTCTCGGCGGCTACGTCCAACTTTGTCAACGTGAACGAGGGGCGGTTCGTCTGCCAGCTGTTTGTCGACTCAGTCAGTCAGTGTTCAGTCAGTCAGTCAGTCAGTCGAGGGCGACGCTGCTGAGGCGGACGCGCTGATCTCGAGTGCGTGGGACCACAAGAACATCGCGCTGCTCGAGCCGACGTCCTCGTGCGGCGCTGACGACCAGAGCAGTCAGGCGTGGGGGATCTCGGTCTTCAAGGTGGAGGAGCACCGCCACTGCACGGACGGCGAGACGGCGTGGGAGGGACATCCTTGCGTCCACTACTCCGGCTACGTCTCGGCGGCTACGTCCAACTTTGTCAACGTGAACGAGGGGCGGTTCGTCTGCCAGCTGTTTGTCGACTCAAACTGCCGTGAATGTCATATCGTGAATGCCGTGAATGTCGTGAATGCGGCAGATTTTCTTTTTTAGCGTCGGTGGTCGTACATCCGTCCGGCCCGCCGTCGGGGCGGACGATCGCCTCACCTGGTCCGCGCCGCGTCGCACGACGCAGGCGAGGTCACTGCAAACCAGCGCATGCGCGTTGGTCTCGTGTCAAAATTCGTTCGCAGTGTTGAGCACTGCGCGCCGCAATACCTCAACTCTGGCACAGTCACCTCGAGCATGCTCAGGGCTCCACTGCCAGCCACAAGTCGGCCTCAAAGCCGACTTGCGGCGGCTCGGCAGCAGCACACGGCGCGGCTTCACTGCGCTGGAAGGGTGACTGGCGCCGACAGGTGCCGACAACCCTCCACTGTGCGTGCGGCCGTACACGGGTTGCTTGCTGTGCTGCTGACTCTGGGGAAGCTCGGAGCGGCAGCAACAGCGCTCACCGCAGACCAGCCCGCCGCAATCGTAGCGGCTGCGCCCGCTCGATTGCGGATTGTCGCGCCGACCTCGCCGCGAGGCGAGGTAACGGGTCCAGCATGTGCCAACCGCACACTCTGTGCGGTTCCACGTGCACTCATGGCGGCGACGACACGTGCATTTCGTAATTCACCAGCCCGATCACCAGCCAGCGGAGACGGCGGGCCGAGATCTCGCTGTCTTCGCACGAAAATGCGCCAAGGGGGGGGTCCGAATAAGATACGTGATATGGCCGCGCGGGCTCGCGCGATCGTTTTCTTTTCCCGTGATGTACCTGTGTTTGTGCCGGTTGTGGGTGGGGATGTCGGGGTGGGGTGGGGTGGGGTGGGCGCCGGAGTGGGAGTGGGTGTGACTGCTCCGTGTGGTGGGGCCTGCCGGAAGAATTTAAACAAAACAAGTATTTCTCACAGCAGACAGGCTCGACACAGGTGCGAACTGGCGCGTACTAGCACTATCACAGACACACCACCGGAGCCGCCTAAGCGACTCCGTTAAGAACGGCAATGCACTCCGCCGCCGGACCGCCCTCTCCACCACCCTCGCCCAGGGATCTACAACGCTGTCTTAAGGTCCGACCTGTGGGCTCTGCCTGCGCTCAGCACCGGGCACCGCCTCGGTATACAAAATGCGCCTGCGGGCGGACCCGCACAGATCACAGATCACTTTTCACTTAGCTCCGTGCACAATGCCGCTCTCCCCGCACGCTAGCTCGTTCACCGTCTGCCACGCCACGGCGGTGTGGAGAACGACAGACAAGCGCTGCATCTGCAGCCCGTGCCAGTTCTTGGTGGTCCATGTCCATGTGACGTGAGTGAGTATTCTTGATACACACACACACACACACACACACACACACACACACACACACACACACACACACACACACACACACACACACACACACACACACACACACACACACACACACACACACACACACACACACACACACACACACACACACACACACACACACACACACACACACACACTGTCCATGTGACCTCATGCGCGAAAGTTTGTTACTCAGCTGGCCCGAACGAACTGTTCGGGCTCTTTTCCTGCGCTTGAGAGGGGGGTGTGGGTTGACGGGGAGTGCCGGGGTGGGCGTCGTAAGGGTGAGGGCGATTGCCGCCCTCCCCCCTTCGCCTACCTCGACGCCTTCGCGTAGGCGCCCCCGCGACTGTGCCTCTTTTGGTACTGTGGCGTACCTGTGTCGAACCTGTGTGCTGTGAGAGAGAGTTCTTGCGTTGAATTCTCTTTTCCTGCGTCGCCTTCGGCAACACCGAGCGGGCGCTGCTCGACTCACTGTTAGGGCATGCTGCATGGCCGCGTCCCGAGGGGCAGGGGGAGGGGGGGAG